CAGCAACCACGAGGCAGTTCTTCAAATCATCCCTGAAAGCCACAGAGCTGTTCCTGAGGTTACTTTTGATAGTGACAGTTCTTTCGTGAAGGTCCTAGGTTTAGCCTGGAATTCTCATGAGGATTTCTTCAATTACCAAGTAAATCAAATAAAACGTGAGTGTACCAAGCGCACCATGTTATCAGAGTTGGCACGCATCTACGATCCTATTGGGCTTTTAACACCACTAACCTTTTCGGCTAAGCATCTCATTCAACGGCTGTGGTTACTTGGGACATCGTGGGATGAAAAAGTTCCTGAGGACATCAATCAATTATGGACTAAATACACTGAGCAATTGCCAAATTTATCGCAGCTTCGGATACCAAGACGCATAACAAGGAATGGCGCTGTTACTTATCAACTCCATGGTTTCTCAGATGCTAGCGAAGCAGGTTATGCGGGTGCGGTGTATCTTCGTTCCACTGATGAGCAAAATCAGCATCAAGTAGCCCTCATAGGAGCTAGGTCAAGGGTAGCTCCCACCAAACGGAGGACATTGCCACGACTCGAGCTCTGTGGTGCAGCTTTGCTTGCGGATCTCATGCATCATATCATAAACTTATATTCAAAATTCATCAACATTGAGAGTGTATGGGCGTGGTCTGATTCAATGATAGTGTTGGCATGGATCAAATCAAATTCAACTGATTATAAAGCCTTTGTAGGCAATCGTATATCAAGCATTCAAAGGAAGCTCCCTGGAGCCCAGTGGAAGTATGTTCCTGGTAAACAAAATCCTGCGGATTGTGCGAGTCGCGGACTAACTCCGGACGAGCTGATTAATCATGACTTATGGTGGACAGGTCCCGAGTGGCTGTCTCACGATCATCATCAGTGGCCTATTGAGCCTAAACAAAGAAAAACATTTCAAAATGATCCAGAAGTGTCAATAGAAAAACGCGCATGTGTTTTGACTAACACACTTCCAGTAGAAGAGCATCCATTCGATCGTCTCATTAATAAATATTCGTCACTGCGAAAAATACAGCGCGTCGTTGCATATTGTAAACGTTTCATCCAGTGTCTGCGCAAAAACAAACGCTCTGATCATTTTACTGAATTTGAACTGCATGAGGCTCTTATGATATTGGTCAGGCACGTGCAACAATCATCATTTAAGGAAGAGATACACCGTCTAAGCTCAAGTCAGGCGCTTCCAAAATCAATTAAAAGTTTGAATCCATATTTAGACGATCAAGGTGTTTTTCGAGTGGGGGGTAGGCTTGCTAGATCAGATCTAAGTTTCGAAGCAAAACACCCAGCATTACTGCCGCGTAAACATCGTCTAACTCAGCTTATCATTCAGTGTGTACACAACGAAAATTTGCATCCTGGTTTACAAACCCTGCATTATTTACTTCTTCAAAATTTTTGGATTTTATCTCCACGACGTGTCATTCGTCAAGTCATATCAAATTGTTATCGTTGCTTTCGAGTAAAACCAACTCCTTATCAACCAGAAATGGCAGACTTACCAAGATCTCGCGTCACTCAAATTAAAGCCTTTCAGTCTGTAGGTTGCGACTACGCTGGCCCTTTTAATGTGACATTTAAGAGACAGCGCGGCGCGCGTACCACCAAAGCTTACCTGTGTCTTTTTGTGTGCTTCGCCACAAAAGCAGTCCACCTGGAGTTAGCATCAGATATGTCAAGTCAAGCCTTTTTAGGAGCTCTCCAGCGTTTTATAGGTCGTCGTGGTAGATGTAATACTATTCATTGTGATTGTGGCACTAATTTCAAAGGAGCTGAGTCCCAATTAGCAAGCATAATGCAATCAGCGTGTGAAGCTGAACGTATTGAATTTCGGTTTAACCCACCCGGAGCTCCGCATTTTGGGGGACTATGGGAGGCAGGTGTGAAGTCGGTGAAGACTCACCTCTACCGAGTAATCGGTGCTCAAATTCTAACATATGAGGAGTTGAACACACTGTTTGTCAAAGTAGAGGCAATATTAAATTCGCGACCGCTTTGTCCTCTAAGTTCGGACCCTAATGATCTATCAGTGTTGACACCAGGTCATTTCCTAACACTAGCACCACTCACCACAGTTCCTGCACCAGATTACACAAACATACAACTGAATAGACTGGTCCGATGGCAGTTACTGCAACGTCTGCATCAAGATTTTTGGTCTCGTTGGCACAGGGAGTACCTGGCTAACTTATCACAACGTTTGAAATGGACAAAATCTTTAGGTGATGTTGAGATTAATCAACCAGTAATTATTAAAGACGAGTGTACCCACCCACTGCGTTGGCGCTTCGGTAAAATTATTCAACTGTATTATGGACGAGACGGAGTCCCTCGGTCTGCTACTATCAAAACTTCACAAGGACAATTAAATAGACCTCTTGTGAAGCTTTGTCCAATTCCACCCGGTATTTAGGATAAAGCTTTTTCAATTATTTTTTTTTATATATATCCATTATATTATATATTTATATACTCAGTAACAATGTTATCATATATTTCATTTAACCGACTAATAGACATCTTTATTTCATATCATTATAACTATAATATTATGCTATTGGTTGGAGTGAACATTTATTTCAAAATTATTTTCATATCCTGGCTCATCAAATTTCGCCAGCGGGGGGGGAAAATGTTAATGTACTTTGAATTTCCCGCTTCACCCTTACACTCATCCATTCAAAACCCTTTCATTCACTCCTTTCCAATCACTCACGATATCATTCGCTCACAAACCGAAATACCGGCACACTCGGAAGATCGCCACGAATCAGTGAAGACGTAACCAGAAAAGCCTCCTCAAAAACCATCAAGCCCGGCGCCGGCGCAAGAGGACCAAATAACATCTCAGCCCCGGGGCTACGTGCCTAACACCTACGCACCAGAAACAGCACGATAAACAGAAGATCAGACAGGAAAGTAAACCGGCCTTCAACCACGTGAGTTCCTATACCATTTCATCATTTCCCCATATTTAAAGTACCTCTGTATAACCATTCTCATCCAACAAGGCACCTGTGGTAACAGTCCACGAAGGGTTCTTAACAAAGAGTATGTTGCTCAGGTCTTATACGAGTAATAAAATGAAATCCAGCATCCATAAAAACTTGACCTTTACTCTACACGCGCGAAGGTCTACTAAACAATGTCTAACAAGGGCTAACAGTACTTAAGTAACTTGTTAAGTAAGTACCACAAAATAGAGAGTATACAGAAGGTTCACTCGGCCCTATTTAGGATTTTCACATAGTCAGTTGTCACAAAGCCAGGGGTGCTACTGTCAATAACTCAAAGTATAAGAATATCAAAACAGAAAAATATGATACAAGAACGTCATATAACTTTAATCCACGAAATATGACGTTCGTGGCAAACCAACTCCTTAATTACCTTGAGTTCCCTGAGATTCCAGTTATTTCCAGTTAAAGAGAGTAAGGCAATCTGTAAAGGCTCTCCCCGCGCGCCCTTTCCCTTTGTGTAAGTACTGTTTAAGTTTACAAAAGAAACAAATAAAATTAAATAGGAAGACAAGACCTTAGATTAAAGAGACTTTCAAAAGAAAGTCTTGTTTACGAGACGAACAGCGAAAATGCTTCTTTCAGGCTGAAAAAACAGAATTATTAAAAAATTAAAACCCGACTGCGGTAATATTCAAGTTATATTTTGCGATTAAAACCCGCCATTTTGAATTTAATAATATTTAACATGGCTAGTGTCATTCTAATTTGCGCTGCTGAGATGAATTTAACGACTCCTCATATGTCAATATCCTCAAAGCTGCAGCCCATAAAAATAATTTGTTTTCCACACACATACATACTCTCGAAAAACATTACCCTCCTTTGAGGCAGTTGGGTAAACAAAGTTTGCTTTTAAAGACGAAAATCGAAAATGCTTCTCCCGAGTGTGAAAAACAAAGAAAGTGAGGCTCACTTTCAGCCCGGTAAGCTGGGCTGAGCGTCGGCGTTCAAAAAGCCTTGTACAGCGCGTAGGCGGACGGCCTTCAACGAAAACTACTCATGGGCGAGAATCACCCGAGCCGCGTTTATACAAACAACACAAAATTGTTTAACAAAAATATTTTAAATCCTTTATTTGGATGCACTAAAAAGAATAAAATAGTAATCAACGGGCTTTTTTATTTGATGCCTTAACGCATGCGTTACGCAACGCTAAAATAGCGCAGCAACGGACGTTACATGACATGTGATCACCGCTTTAGCTATCGAGTTTCCAGAACACTCTAGGAAATAAAACTACATTTTACGACATTTATGAACCAGAAAAATGGTTTTCATTTTGAGTCAGGTTCTTAGGTCAGGTTACGCTGGCCGTGTGATGCCGGCTTGCAACAGCATCACTCTATTTTAAGAGACTCTAGGGGTTTCGTGAGTATTACTACAATTTTAAGTAACGTCACTTATACATAGTGTAGCATAGAAGTACGAATAAACTTTTTATCTTTCTATTTATCCACTGATCCACGATCTTTTTCTGAAATTTTACATTTTAATGCCTACCCCGACCGTATTTTTACAGCCTACCCCGCAAGGGTCAAAGGCATAATATTATGTACGTGTGTAGGGTCATGCTGATTCAATGTGAATTTAGTGTCAAACATTTTATAATTATTATTAATTTCTGGTCACAGATTATGATTAGACGTTTGTTATCTATCGATAGCTATCTAATCTTATCTTATCATACGTGTTGTTTTACCCGCCTTCAAAAAGAGGTTATATTCACGATAACACGAACGTGTTGCGGTCTCGTTTGTCGAATGGGGACGCGATTTGTGTTATCTGTATATCAAGTATTGATACGCTGCGGTTAGCGTGGAACTGTATACTCAAATATACCGGGTGTAAGTAATTGCTGCAAGATAGACGATGAAACTGAAAAACTTTCCCTATGGAGCTTATGAGCTGGATCGTCGCTTGGAGACGAGCATCAAGAGATATAAAATTTGGCATTCATCAACCGGTGCATCGGTAGCTCAGTTGCAGAGTGGTGGGGCGTTTACCCATGCGGCCCGGGTTCGATCTCCGGTCGATGCGTGACATTTTTTCTATTACTTATTTTCACTTATGTCTTGTCCGAGTTTCAGTTAGATCGGTTATTTTGTATGGGAGGACTCTTTTTTCGTTTCATGCCCCAAATAAAATGAGATAAAAATGGGCAGGCCGGATGCTTAGTAGGAAAACTTGTTCAATAACAGGGTCTGAACATGCGTAGAAGCTCGGGAAGCCGGGTTCGCGTACCCGTATACCACATCTCAGCTTTCGATCCAAGAACTGAGATGAGTACCGTACTCTTCCGAGACCTGGTGTGTGTATCGTCACCACATACGCACTTTGGATCGATTCCACCTCAAATGCCTTCGCACCATCATGAAGATCAGATGGTCCGACCGAGTGCGAAACACCGAAGTTCTAAGACGAGCCAATGTTGGTGGCATTGAAGCCTACTTAATGCGTCGACAGCTTCGGTGGTGCGGTCACGTATCCCGGATGGCGGATGAGCGAGTGGCGAAGCGCATCTTCTATTCTGAGCTAGAGGAGGGCAAGCGAAAGCATGGCGGTCAACTCCTCCGATTTAAAGATGTTCAGAAGAGACACATGAAAAGATGCAATATCGAACCCTCTCAATTTGAGGTTTTGGCAGCACAACGGCCAGAATGGCGCGGTCTTGTAAAGAGGCGAATCCGCGACTTCGAGGAGCAGCGTAAAGCAGACCTTGACGCTAAACGCGATGAACTGAAGGCCCGTCCTCCCGCCGCCATTAACTACAATTATATCAATGGCAAACTCACGTGCCCACACTGTGCACGGGAGTTTACTGCCAAAATAGGCTACAATAGCCACATACGAGCGCATCAGCGCCGACTTGATTAGGAGTAGAAGTGGTCGCCATGGCCGAAACCGGCCGGAAAGATCATCATCATCATCATGTTTACATACCTATGATGTAGGCGACTATTAAGATATTAGCGATATGAATAGTTTTGTGACAGAATATGATGGATGGATAGGACAAATAGGCAATCGATGGATTTTGGAATGGACTGCTATCGCTTTTCGCAGACATATAAGCTAGCAACTTTTTGCACGAGCGTGGGTACAATATCCTTTTCAAGAATACCTAGAAGAATAATTTTAGATTTTACAAGAAAACTGAGTAGGCGGTTAAAGCTGCAGTTTTTTCCTTGTGTGGGAGTAGAGTTCTGCTTGATCTTTACCGACTTCCAAAAAGAGAGTTTATCAATTCGGCTCGTAAGTTCACATATTTAATAATCTCAGAAAGGTTGAAATGAAACTGGTTGTTCGGAAGAGAATACTGCGTGGCATTAGGCCCACCTTTTGAACAACGAGCAAACTATAAAAATATTATCATAATCAGTCCAGTATAGTTTTCAAGATACCTACAAGCTATTACCACTACAAAGAACGAAAAGGTATAATCGCAAATTAGGGAAACGGGGATAGGTATAATGCTAATTTACTAGTTCGACAAGTCCAACCCACGCGAAAGTAGGGAAAATTTAAAGTTGTATTCGATCATTCACCTCATGTCATCCGACGTAGGTTGTTTGTCACCTTTTTACCGATTTCGTAAAGGTGTCTTACAGCGATACATAAACATGATGCATATGCTTCAGCTGAGACTAGAGATGCAAAGCGGTAAAATTACTTTCGTAACTTTCGGTAAAATACGATATTTTACGTAAAATATTATATTTTACCGTAAAATACGGTAAGATTGAGTAAAAAACGAATCATACTACTACTTAAAGATTCTGAGTCCGTGTAAGAAATGGAGCCTACCAGTATACACCCATTCACCATACGCTAAGAGAAGTGACACTCGCCCCCCCCTCTCTGGCGAAACCCGCCCCGCTGTCGCCCACCGGGCCAAGTTGTACCAAGCGGTACCGTGGGCATACAATTTCCAATTTTGTGTGATGCAATTTGGTGTAGTATGCGAGAGGGAGGCAATTTTAGGTGTAATGTATTGCGCGTGGCTTTTACAAACCTTTGAGATTGCGATAGCCCTGCCACACCATACATAAGTAGCTGGTAATTTTACCGTAATTTATATAAATTACCGTAAAAAACGCGTATTTTACCCGCATTTTCAGTAAAATTACGTAATTTTGCAACCCTAGCTGAGACAGACGAATCGATATGACTGCAAGGAGACACTGCTATGTAGATTATGTCGGCTACTGTCTGACTGGCTATTTGCATTACTTATAAAGCGATTTTCTGGTACTTTTACCTGACTGGCGCAGAAGATGGTCATGTTTTTCGAGAGTATGTGGGTGGGTACGTAGGGATGTATGTGAACAAGAAAATTCTTCTTCGCGAGCTATAAGGATTCATTAGATTCGTCTCAACAGCACGACTGACACTGGCTATATAAAAATTTCATAAAATAAAAATGGCAAACTACCGCATCGAGATTATCTTTTTTAAGAATTATGCTTGTTTTTGCTTTGTTTGCCCCGTTTCTTTCCTGCGGGCGTCATAAAAAGCAGCTACGAAACTTGAGGGTTTTATATGTATTACCCTCATTATCAGATAACAAAATAGAGCGAGATAGCAACCGTATTCTTACGGCCGTTATTCCGTCAACACTGTGCCTACCCCGCAAGCGATGAAAGCGCGATGTATGTGCGTATGTTTTATTACAATTAAATTTACGGACAAACATCGTAAGGTTTTTGTTACGTTCTCTTGTGTAATTTATGTGATAATTTCAAAAAGGGGGCGTTGATAAGTAAACACGTATTTTTGTAGTCTTTAAATAAATTTAGTTTTCAAAGTAAATTCCCTAATAATATCTACTATTTAGAGTAATTCACATTGTTAGTGTACTGGACCATACCGGTAAACGTTATCCACAAGAAGTAAATTGTATTATCGGCGCAAAATACGAAACAAAAAGTGACGCTACATTCAAACTTTTCAATAACTTTTTTCAGTGAAAAGCAATGACCTGTGTCTAAATATATATGAGAAAAGTGATTCCTAACAGCTTACTACAGTTATTTGATAATACTTTTACGTGTTTCGGTCATAAATGTGCTCTTAAAGATTTTTCTCATACATACAACAATTTCAAATTCGAACTTTTGTTAACGAACTTTCTTTCAGTTGAAAAACTTTGTTTAGTGATTGTGGTTAATCGAGTTCCTATTTATCATTAATTTTGGAGGACTTTACAAAATTTTTAGTGTCTTTCATGCAAATTACTACATAAAAAATCATTAACCGATATTTGTATATACGTAAACTTCTTCCCAACGAGCAGCGCCATCTGTTATTGGATAGCGGGACTATTGATACCTTATTCTCCGTGGGTTCTCCGCTCGCCACTCGGGCTCGCCACAACAGGAACCACAACCACCCACACCAAAAATTGTTCCGCTACTTGCCACGAGAGAGCATTACTAATTATTAACTACAAACTTTTGTTAGCAATAACATTAAATGTAAACTTTACAAATTCGTTTATGAGGTGAATGAGGACCATTCGATACAAAATACGTCCACTGGAGAGCGCATAAACCAAAAATACAAGATTTTAGTAACGCATAACAAAATAGATGGCGCCATCCACAGCGGAAACTTCACCACGTCAAGAGAATACAATACCAGTATCGCGTTTTTTCACCACACTACACCACCAAGTCCTTGACACTACCTGCTTTCTGGCGCAATCTGGCTAACGTCCTGGCCTATTGGAGGAAGACACCGCGGTCTGTTTAACGAGAAAGCGTTCATGGAAGAAAACTTGCGAGAAAATATGTCATTTTATTTACAGACTTTTTTAAAATAACTCAGTAATTTAATGTAAATAAACTTAGAGATTAGGTGCTTAGGTATTCGTAGAACACAAAAAATATTTTTTTTTTATTTTTAGTTTATTTTTGATGTTATTGTTTTACGGTATCTGTACTTACCTATGGTAATTATGCACTTACTTGTTATAGCGTCCAATTGTTTGTGATTCATCTGTTTTTACTGACACCCGAGTTTTTAATACCTTTGAGGATATAGACTATAGACAGTTACATACCTACGTACCCACCAAATGTAATCAGTTTCCTTACTTATCTCTTATTTAAATTGCTCGAGATACTGCTTATCTTACATTTCTATTTAGCAATATGTACTGTGTTTTGACTTATTAATTGGGAGGAAAATGTCGCAACCCCCACCTGCTACCATGGGACCTCTTCTGGCTCCAACGCATTTTTCACAGCCACTGCCCCAGCCCTCGTCAGCATCACAGGTGCTTCCAATGTCACTTGACAACATGGAGCGATGTCCACTCTGTCCACAACCAAAATACTGCAAGGGTAAAAGAGGTCTAACGGGTCATATGACTAAGCGCCACCGTCCAAATTTTTCCATGGTAGACGGGAACGTACAACAACCACCACCTCCGTCAGCACAGAATACACCGACACTGTCAACATCTCCATCAACCGCAGCCTCTAGCAATATACCTTTTTGGAAAACTTTGGCCGAGTACAAAAACAACCTCCCGGTGGTTAGGAGAATCCCACGAGGGGCACGTAATACTGTAGCAACCTTTTTCAAAAAAGCCATTGACAAAGTAGTTACAAGCAATGATACTATGGATTGGCAGTTCTTGTTGTCATTTGCTTACTCTGTCCTGCATGTCCCAAAACAATCAGGGAATACCCAATCCTTGACGCAAAGAATAAAGGACAATTGTAGAGTTCCGTCCACACCACCATCTTCCATGACTTCTGTCCGAAATACTAACTCGAAAAAGAAAAACAGTGATGGGGAAACAGTTAAAAAAATCGAGTCTAAAGTCGGCGAAGGTGACCTCAAGGGCGCAGCAAACTTACTTTTTTCGAGAGACACAATCGCCCCGTACAACGCCGAAACAATTAATGAGCTAATTTCGAAACATCCATCTCAGCCTTCGAATAAACTACCTGAACCCCCCCAATTGCCAGCGGCTACCCCCATTGTAACTGCTGAGGACGTGTCCAAAGCCATAATTAGCTTCAAAAGTG